CAGTTTGTGACATGCAGGACAGGCCTGGGGACATTGCCAGTGCAGGTGTAGTGACCCTGCAGCGGTTTGTGACATGCAGGACAGGCGTGGGGACATTGCCAGTGCAGTTTGTGACACGCAGGACAGGTGTGGGGACATTCCCAGGGCAGTTTGTGACACGCAGGGCAGGCCTGGGGACATTCCCAGTGTAGGTTTGTGACACCAGGACAGCCCTGGGGACATTGCCAGGGTAGTTTGTGACACCAGGACAGCCCTGGGGACATTCCCCAGGCAGTTTGTGACACGCAGGACAGGCCTGGGGACATTGCCAGGGCAGTTTGTGACACGCAGGACAGGCCTGGCGACATTCCCCAGGCAGTTTGTGACACGCAGGACAGCACTGGGGACATTCCCAGGACAGTTTGTGACCCTGCAGCACAGACCGTGGCTCCAGGGATGCTCACAGGGCATCTCACCCTGGCTCAGGTGGCCACCAGGACCTGCAGTGATCCTGGCAGGGAGGTGGCTGAGGCTGAATACCAGCCTGGGCTGCTCACTGTTTAACCAAAGTGTGTTAAGGTGTCAGAAGAGCTTCCATACCTCACCAGCCACTGGAAAACCCACTGAGGAGAGCATACACTGGAGGGATTGGTCACTGGTGTCCCCACTGCAGCATTCAGAGCCTTTTCTTACTGCTCACTACGCACCAGAGCACCCACACTGCTGGACCAGGAGCTGCTGATGGACGCTGTCCCAAGCCAAAGGGACTATGGGGCCTAAATCCTCTCTTACACCGCCTCTTCTGCAGCAGATCACCTTGGCTCCCTGGCACAGGGTGCCCAGAGAAGCTGTGGCTGTCYCTGGATCTSTGGMAGTGTCCAAGGCCAGGCTGGACAGAGCTTKGAGCAGCCTGGGATAGTGAAAGGTGTCCCTGCCATGGCAGGGGTGGAACAAGGTCTCCCCCAACYCAAACAGTTTGGTGAYTSTCTGACCTGGAAGGTCCTTGCCTTTCTCCAGGGACACGGTGCCCAGGGTGACCCATGCCATTCCCC